GATTTATGATATGGAGCAAAGTAAGACAGAATTTGAAGTACTATTGTGCACTGATGATGAACATGTAATTGCTAAAATGTATAAACTTTTGTTGAAATTTGAAATAGAGGAAGAACAGATTAAAGAATGTATGATAAAGTGGGCTAAGAATTTTGGATATAATATACAGATCAACCAATGGGAAAATATGTGGTCAAAAGGGTTGAAATTTACATTGTGTTAAGATCTTAAAGGAATTTTTTATAAAATATTTTATTGTTGTTATATGATGCCAGAGAAATAATCTAGAATGTATAAAGGCACTTCAAATGTATGTTGAAAATGCAAACAACATGAAGGGACATTTCATCATTTTGGATTCAAATATATACTTTGATACAGACGATTTTAAAGATTAATATTCAATTGAAGCCAGAACATTTCCTTTTAGGACTAATGGATAAACAGTTAGAAAAAAGCCATGGAAGATTGTTTCATTATATTATTATTATATGCAGCAAGATTATTATATGGACGGATATGGAACGATTCAACACTACCCACTATGGAGGAATGGTTGGTGAAATTGACAGATTTTGATAAGATGGATAAATTAGCTTCTTTGATTGGAGAAAAGACACTATATTTATTGGTGACTGGAAACCTCTTATGGACTTTTTTATGTAAAAATTAAAAAAATGAATTTGTGTTTCATGGCTTTGATGATTAGATAGGATAGATAATAGAAAGAAGAGTATTATGATGTAACTTTAGAGAGAAAGATTAAAATAGAATTGTAGTTATAACTGCTGTGAAAAATATCAGAAGCCTCTTTGTTTCTTTTTTCTTTCTTTTCTATTTTTTTTCAACTTTTTTTCTTTTCTTACACTTTTTTGCTTTCTCTTTGCTTTCTTTTTCTTTTTTCTTCCTTACTTTATATTAGTTTGTATTAGTTTTATCTTCTTTTTTAAAAATTCCAATAAAAATAATATTTACAAAAGAAAGTAATATTCTTGCATGTTAATTGATGAGATGCATGGAATGTTTGTTGGCTTGCAAGGTAATCTCTACTGTCTAGAGTATAGGTGCTATTGGATAGAATAGCATGGATATGCTTGGGCTTTGCTTGCATCTTTGGCATATGTGCCAAAATCTGGCAAACTTGATTGTTACTGTATTTGCCATTAACAGGGAAAATTAATGGGTATGGCTGAGGCAGTAACCTAGTCTGTGCCTTCTTTATCTTATGTAAATATCTTGATTGACCAAAACCGTGATAGGCAGCAGAGGTCAATACTTATGGGCCTACCTGTAAAGAACCTAAATTAATGAAGGAAATAAAAGAAAGAAAAATAGATATGGTGGGCATCTGTGAAATTAAGAAAAAAAGCAAGGTTGTATTAGATCTGAATGAAGGTGGCCTGATCTTGTGAACTAGAATTGATGAATTATGCAAGGAAATAAGGGTAGGCTTAATTATGAATAAAGGAACTAAAATGTATGTCAGAGAATATGCATTGGTATTTTCTAGGTTATGGGTGCATATGAAAATAGAAATTCATAAATTGGTAAGAGTTGCATGTTGCATTCCAGTGAATGGTGATAATGGAAGAACCAGGAATGAATTTGGGCAAAATTGTGCAACACTCTTTGCCTTACTATCTCTTGCTTCTTTCTTTTCTGTACACTACTCTTCATAAAGTTGCTTACCTCCATAGGGAAATGTTTATATATACTTAATGCCCAAGAATGGAGTTTTAATTTGTGTGTGTATATGTGTGTGTATACACATATATATGCCAGTTCTAATCTTTCCATGTGTGTGTGTATCACCTAGCATGATATCAGTGAATCAGAACCATAGTAAATTTAATGGAACTTAGGTGATTTTCACAAACCTCTTCATTACCTCTTGAAATGGCAGTCTGAGATGGAAAATCAAACTGTTCTGGTGCCAACAGCTTAATACACAACATTTTTTGCTTCTGTTATGATGAGGCAGTTAATTGAAATACTGTGTAACAATAGAATTCATATTAAGTGATTGTTCTTATTGCAGAAGAATCTGTAATAAGAAAAGTAAGCCAGAGGATTCCAAACTTCTGAATTTTGCCAAAAGAGGGTGCTGTAGACATTCTGAAATTTCCATAGTCCCAAAATGATTTTAAAAGATTAAATCTGATCTGCCTGAATTATTTAGAGGATGCCTAAATCGTGAACCTGAATTAGGTGGTTTGATCTCAGAAATTTAAGAAAGAAACCAGTTACAGTTTTTGAACATACTGGGAAAATAATTATTTCTACATTTGTGCTTATGTGGCCAGTTGTCCCTGTTTTAGGTGAATTGAATAAATGAAAAGTTTACTACAGTCAGAGGACCCAAGAACAAACATAGTAACAAAGAAAGAAAACAGCATACATTTTGACATTTCATGGGAAGCAAATTATTCAGAAAATGGGGGGGGGGGTTAGGTGAATTGTGAAATTTAACATAAATTTTAAATCAGAAACAAAAGTAACTCCTTTATGAAGAAAGTTATGTTTTTTTAAACTTGGAAAAAGACAGTAAGGGCTATATTATTGAAGTAAATAAATTATGCTTGGTGGATAGGGATGGAGATTCTTTCCTCTGACATAAATTGTAGAACATGAGGTCATCCAACCAAGGGACATTAGTAGAGCCTGAGTGGTAAAGAATTAAGGATTGGTAGGAAATAATACTGTACCTAGTAAACTATTAGATTTGCTTCCTGAAAATGTGATAATCACCAGTTTAGATGGTTTTGGCAGGGAAATAGGCAAGATTAGGATGTCCTGGAGGCAGTGTGCCTATCGATACCAGTTCAGCCATCGAAGACTTAATATCAGGATAAACAGTGCATTTCTAACGGTTACTCTAACTGATAACCCTCCTGCTTGGTGACATGGTTGGGAGCAACATCTTTTGTTTTTCTTCCGGGTTTCTCTAGTTTGCATTGCTGGACGATACTTTTATTAGGCCAGCTCAGAGATCACAAAAATATGCTAGCTTTTAAGATCTCCAGATCTCTTCTTCAAGATAAAAAACAATGGGAGAAGGGGGAGAAGGGAAGAAAAAGGACATTTCCCCACCTCTAGAGCCATCGACTTTCATTGTGCCAGCGTAACAATAATGGGAACAGGCTGTGTCTTACCCCAACAGTGGCTTGGTGATAGTGATTTATTTATCTGTTGGGTTTATAGCCTGCCTTTCATTTAGGAGCTCAGTGCAACATGCATAACCCTCTCACCTCCTGCTTTTGCCATGACAGTAACTATGAAGTAAATTGGATTGAGAGCAACTGAGTGACCCAAGGTCACTTAGTGGACTGAGAGTTGATTAGAACCTGGGTCTCTTTGCTGCTGGTCCAAAATGTTAACCACTACACAATAGTTACTTTTATATGATATCACAGTGTAACTCACTAGTGAGGAATTACCCTATTGTTGAGGATTTGAAATCTACGTGGTGAGAACAAGTGGAAATAAAAATTAGTCTTGGATGCTGTAATTTTCAGGTTGCATTTAGGACTGTCTCTAGGGTAGTGGTTCTTATCCTTTTTCTTTTTGTAGATCCTCACATTGCCATTGAAAGTTTTTGTGGACTACCACATAAGTATTTGAACTTGAGTTATTCAATTCAGACTACCACATAAGTAAGTGTTCGGAATTGTGAAACTAGCAGGCACCATTTTCCGTGTAATCCCTAGATTACATAAAAAATAATTAAAAAATAAAAATGGCTGAAAACTTGCAAGGCAGTCAAATCTCACAAGGCTTCTGTATTCTTGTTGGAAATCTCATGAGATTATAGATGAAAGCAACGTAATGTTGAGAGATTTTGAACAAAAATATCAAAATCCCATCGTATTAGGTTTAGAAATCTTAGAGATTTCAGCAATTTTTTTAAAAAGTACTTTCATTTTGGCATCACCCCCATGAAGAGCACCCTCTTTTGTCCTGTGCAGATACAGGATTGAGAGAGAGTGGTGGAAAGCCAGTTATCCAAGCCAGTCCAGGGTCTAAAGCCAGCTAGTGCTATATGAGACAAGAAGGGTCAAGTGAAGGCCAAATTATTTAGGCTGTTTTCTCAGGTTCCAGTGTGGGGGGCTCAGAGATGGATTGAACAAATATTTCCAGCAACAGTGTCTAACACTGGCTTACAAAGTTCCCAGGAACTGGCCTCTTCCAAATTCAGCTGGCATTTATCATAGTTCTCTATTTCTCCACGTGACAGCAGCAGAGATACTTAAACTCAGGCTGTGGATCAGAAAATAGAACTGCAGAGTCTGAAGATGTCACAAGGACTGTTTCCGGTTTAGCTCCCACTTAATAGTTTGAGCTCTGGATCAAAATAGGCACTCTTGAATCCTCATCCTCATACCCTACATCCCCAGGACAGACACACCTCACAGACTAGTGACTGGGAATTGTTGGCCTAGGGATTAAAAATCAAGGAAACAATACAGATTTCTCTATTTTAACAAGTTTGAAATCAAACTGTATTTATACTTGTGTCCTTTCTTAAAATTTCCTTGGAGAGCTAGATAGTTTTTGTATTAGCTAGATAGTTGGATGTAATTTTAATGGGCTTCTTGGTAGGTAGCAGTCTAATTAAAAATAGGCATACTCATGTAGAGCAGGCTTTCTCAACTTTAGCAGCTTTAGCAACTTTAAGATGAGTGGATTTCAACTCCCAAAATTCCCCAGCTAGCATGCTGGATGGGGAATTCTGGGAGTTGAAGTCCACTCATCTTAAAGTTGCCAAGGTTGAGAAACACCGATCTAGAGGTACAGTATATGGGGGGGGGGAGGGGGAAGAGTCAGCATATTGGAAAACTTTTCCCAGTCACCATATAAAGCAGAAACATACTGTTTCTATCAACCAGGAGCTGTTCCTAACTTAACTTACTGGTAATTATAGTTGCATAACCTTTCATATGGTATACTATCCTAGAATTAGAGGCTTCAGTTTTATCTTTATCTTTTATGACTTTCCTTAGGCTTCACAGATATTGAATTCTTCATTCGTTGAAGGCTGTTATGAGTTTGTTATTCTGCCTAGAGCAAATTGCAAAATATCTTCTTACATTCTATGTTCAAGAAATCAAAATACTATAGTAATGAAATTGTATGAGTCGATGTTCTGTGCATATAGCTTTATACAGCTTCAAAATAAAATGAACGCATTTTTTATATGGCAAGCAGAACATGCAGCATCTTTTCCAGTAATTGTGATGGAGCATTTAGGGGTATTTAGCCATTGGCAACTATATAGTTAGTGTGTTGATTGAACTTTATTTACAGGATTTGTAGATTATGGAAAAATTACCAGGTTTTTTTTTGTGTGCATAAAATATTAAATGTAAAATCCTATATTCCTCTGCTTCCATCACTTGCAGTTTTTGTTACTAAAGATTTATTATTTTTTATTATTTTAACAACTAAAACATAAACATTTCCCAGATTCTACCCGATCACCATTTTCTCACCCTAACTCTCTTCATAATATGCAATATTTAAATAATAAATCACACAATTGTTTTCTAATTGATGTATGGCAATTAGTATTTTTGCTGATGTCACAAATTTAGTTTGTAGCAATTATTTCAACTCCTTTGTGGAAATCTGAAACTTCATTATCTAGTGAAATAAAAAATATATGGTATAGTGAGTTTTGAGACTAAATTGAGATATAATATATGTCCTGTTAATTGAAGTTAAATATCTTTCTTTTTTAAAGAAGATAGAGTTGTACTGCAATTAGTGAACAAAAAGCACCACTATCCCTTGTTTTAATTTTGCAATCAAAGCTTGTTTTTCAGGCTTCAACAGCAGCTCAGGTGACTGGATAACTCATGAGTTTAATGGCTGCAGACTATCAGGTGGACCATTAGGTAGCCAGATTCCCAACTTTCAAATAAAAATAGAACAAGTCCTGATAAAACCCAAAGCGTGAGCTGAAATGAATGGTGTAAATGAGAAGGAGGAGAATTTTTAAATTATCAAGTTATAGGAGTTGGTGTCAGTCTTTATGCTTTAATTTGCTCTCCATATATCTGTAAGATCTTAAGTGAAATATTGACTGCATCTAGTGCACATGGGAATAAATGTGTACAGTCAGCAACCTCATATTCAAAGGATAATGGTTTTGAATTGTTACTAAGTTAAAGGGCTTTTTCTAATATGTTTATATCTATTATTTCTATTCCAGCTTTCCTCTGGGAAGTAAGATATTGTAAGATCATATTTTTTTAAGTATATAACTGTTACTATATTTATATTTAGTCTTTCCTCCAAGAGCTTAATTACTTCTGATTTATGGTAACAACCTGTAACAAACCTGGGAGATAATAACTTCAAAATCATCTATAGTCTACTCAGGCATAAAAATGTATTTTGTTTATGTCTTTCACATTCTGCTTGCTTCACGTTTCAAACAGTATCTTCAGTAGTTTGAGTATTTGAGTATTTCTTACGATTTCTATGATAAATAATTAAATGAATGCATTTGCATTGTACATAAAGTAGCTTTGCTGTTATTTGTGAGTTGTGGGGAAAGAATAGGATGCCCACTATAGCATACCATCCACACAATCCATTTATGGTTTGATTCAGGTCTATCACCTTGCTTTTGAGCATGTTATAGATAATATTGATGTTCCTGGTACCTCCTTTGTGCATAGGATCTTTATTGGAGTAAAAAATTGAAAGTGAATAAGTTTTTCAGTAATCAATATGATGCTCACAAGATAATATACTCTCAGCAAGATAATTATACCATGACTTTGTGGGCAGGTTTTTGGGCAGAATTCAAGAAGGTTTGGACTTATAGTGCAGCCTATTAGAACTGGCATAGTGGGGATGGAATCTTTCTGTTTAAGAAAGAGAAGACTTTAAGAGCAGCACTGCTGAATATTTGCTAAAGTGAACATAAATATCTAAAATAAATTAAACTGGACATTCAAGAATCCAAATCATAGTTATGCACTGTTACGTGGTAACTCAGTGGTTGCTGCATTATTCTCAGATTGTTGTCCCTGTTTTAGCAGAACATTTCATCAATGTAGATTCTTAAAGTTTTCAGTAAATAGCTACTTCCGTATGATCTTAATTCACAGTAGAAAATGGCAGTTAGAAATCATTCACATGGCTGGAATATTTTAGGCTTCTGTTTGGACAAAGGATGCATATAATATTTATCATTCCTTAGATTTGATATATGTAGGCCATGAAAATTATTATAAAACAGGGAGTGGAGTTATTAAGTGATCTCTAGGCATGTAGAATAGTATTAGAGTTATCATTTTCTGTAAGAAATGTAATTGGTGTGTATTCATTTTTTTTTAAGATTTTTTAAAATCTCACTATTGTTTTTATAAATAACTCAAAGCGGCTAACATACCTAATACTCCTTTTTCCTTCTATTTTCCCCACAACAACAACTCTGTGAGGTGAGTTGGGCTGAGAGAGTGACTCGCCTAAAATCACCCAACCGGCTTTCATTCCTTTCTTTTGCTAGATTATCTGTATTTGAAATCCAGCTGTATTCAATATTGTGTCATAAAATATTGATTCATACATTTGACAACAGAGTTTAACCACATTATTCAGTATATCCTTAATTTAACTGAGGAGGTTCAACGTATGAAATGTTTATGGCATAATGTAAAGTTATCATTGCTAATATTAAAATATTAATTCATTAAAATTTCTGTTTTCCAATGCATGCTGCTTCTACTTTAAACTCTGTCACTAAAATGGCAAAAGCTACTTAGGTGTATTCGTATATAATTGGAAGCATTCCTGTTTCATAAAAAAGTAAAAAGTAATAGGCATTAATATATGGCTTGAAATTCCCAATTTATGTGTAATGACCTGACACTCACAGCTTCCAATTCCAGTAACTCTCTTTGTAGCCAGTCATGGTTCAAAAGAAAGTTATTTATTGAGAACAAGTGTACAGTTCCAAAGCATTGCTAAGACTGAGCCCGTGCGTGTTTTTACCTTTTTTTCTTCTCTCCCCCTTCACCCCCCTACTGCCCCCTTCTTCTCACGTTCTCCTGCTGGTATGACTTTGAACACTCCACCGTCTCTGATAAGAGGCCATCTGCCTCTCTCGGTCTGTTCTTTCACCAAACTTCCCATAGCCTTTGAGCCCCCCCCCCCATGTTCTTCAATGGCAGAACCAAAGCAAGCAAAAACAACCTAGCAATTAGCGTGAGTAAATTTGCGAGGATTCTGACATGCCACCTCTCCAAAAATAAACTTCAATCAGATGAGGTGTATTCGTCAGTCTGAAAAAGAACAAAAAACCCCCAACATATATACATAGTAATCACACAATGTTACTTAGGCTTGTTTGGGTAATCATGGTAAAACTGTTTGATTAAGTCTGGAGCCTTTACATTTTTCTTGTCCACCCACTATGCTAACGACCTAGGAAAATGCTTCCATTGAATTAAAAATTGCAATCCCCCTCTATGTTTTCGACTGTCCAAAATCTCTTTCACTTCAAAATGTTGCTCTCCCTCAACCATAATAGGTTTGGGTATTGCCGGTGTGGGGTGCCATTGAGCAGACTCCTTGCACGGTTTTAACAGATCACAGTGGAAAACAGGATGAATCCTTTTAAATATGGAAGGCATCTGCAATCGGACTGAAACAGGATTGATCACCTTTTCAATCACAAATGGCCTGACATCTTTTGGTCCTAGTTTTTTCAAAGGTTGTAAGGATTTTAAATGCCTGGTAGACAAAAGGACTTTGTTCCCCACTTTCCAGTCCTTTTTCAGAGTTCTTTTGCAGTCTGCAATTTTTTTATAGATTGCTCTCACCTCCTCCAACGCTGTGAAGTGCCCTGGCTCACCGCACTTGAAGCATACCCGGCGACCTCAGCTACCCTCTGGTGCACTCACTTTGGGTTTGGTCCCAGCTCTCCTTGTTCCTGGTATCGCCGGCAATGAATGGGTTCTCGCTTCCATGGTGCGCCACTGCTTCTCCACCTCTCCTGCCATAGCGACCCACCCGTTAAGGTAACCCTGACACACTACCTGCTGCAACAGCTTGGGCTGCAAGCCCCGCTGGAAGAACTCGATGAGGATTCCCTCCGGGATTTTCGGGAGCTTCTGATCTAGCCTCCTGAATTCAAATGCAAACTCAGACACCGTCCTGGAACCCTGCTTGAGTCTTTCCAGGTCTCGGCGTGCCTTCAGGGCGACACACGGATCTTCAAAAACAGGTGCACAGGGCTTCCAAGAATTCATTCAGTTTTTGCAGTGCCTGATCCTTCACGTGCATCCCGACGACCCACTCCGCTGCCGCACCTTCAAAGTAACTGGCCACATAGGAAACCTTTTCTGCTTCACTGCAGAACAAATTCCCATATCCCTCCATATAGATTCTCACCTGGGTGAGAAAACAGGGCAGCTGCTCTGCATGTCCCGTGAATTTCATGGAGATTCCCCTCAGCTGCATCGGCTGTTTTTCACTTGCTTGGGTGAGTAGTCCTCATCCCCTTCACTGGATGTCTCCCCCTCGCCCGATCGCTCACCTGGCTCCAACAATCCCAGGGTTGCCACCGATTCCCTGGCGGGGGGCGTAAGGCCACCCCTTAGCACTCAATCCAGAGCAATCCTCATAGTCGTAACATCATCTGATAGCGAAGCCATCTGCACTTCCAATTTCCCCAGGCAATCTTTTATCGATGAACTCCACTCTTTCACCGCCGTCCCTTTCGTTGTCGCTCGGGTCGGCCGTAAAGAGTCCACCTGCTCTTCTTCTGGCAAAACCTTTACTTCCAACAGCACGCTGGAAGGACCTGGAGCCTCTTCCATCTCCTCAATGACAACGTCTGCCATCACGTTGCTCAGCCCCCAGCGGTCAACGTGATGCATAGGACTTTCCCACAGGGCAAGTAGTCCCCCATGGAAATCCTCATGGGAGTCTTAGCAATTTGTAACGACCTGACACTCACAGCTCCCAATTCCAGTAACTCTTTGAAGCCAGTCATGGTTCAAAAGAAAGTTCATTTAT